CGATATAATATATTCTCTGCGAGTATATACGTACATACTACATAGTGTATAATGTACTACGTCATATTTTATTAGAAATTAGAATGAGGTAGTTTTATCGTAGGTATATAATCATTTTTTTTTTTTTTTATAAACTTTTTCCCACCAGAATTACGGATAATAATTATTAAAGATACTATTTATTGAGATGACTACTTAAGCATTCGTACCGTGTACTAGCAATAATCAATTTATTTTTACAATTTTTTTATTTTCCATTATAATAATATAAAAATAATAATTTTCATACTAATATTATTACATATGGTTTCGTGTGTCATTTCGACGACGGTGGTTAGATTAGGTACACACACTTAGTATAAAAATTCTTAAAAGCAGCATCATATTAATTCAATCATCTTGCACTAGACTCGTCAATGTGTAATATTCGGTTGACTTCGTCGTTGGATTTCATGAAACAGATGTGAGCAATTGAGCGAGAAATCGTGTATGAGAGACAATTACAACAGATTTATTAACAACGTTCCGTCGTAATATCATAAAACATACTATATTGTACGACAATTGAACGTTGCAGACGATATCACAAATTATTGTCTAATAAACTTAATTCAAATACACGAAAGACGAACAATAATATACTATTATTATTATTATTATACATAACTGCATACAGTTAATGGCCGTTATCAGATCGTGTGGACTTCACATCAAACACTGCTAATCTTAAGAATTATTCGTTACAGCGTTGCTTTAACGGCACGAAACAATGATTAAAAATTAAAAAATTATCGAGAAAGATAAGTATTGTTACTATAGTTAAACCTTGTGCAGAAAATACGCCTCTTATAAAAAATTAAAATACAAAAATCATTAAGTATTACCGTAAAACGTTATTCACCAAGATTATTACTGCGCGTATAACATTATAATTGTTTAGAAAATAGAAAACGTTTAAAAAAAAAAAATGCTTGTTCATTTCAACAGTTTGATTGCTTTTTATTCTGACACATTTATTAAACGCATCACATAATAAAAATATGGGTAGGTGTATGGGTACTGTTCGTTTTTAGATGTTGTAAAAATGTTTATAACGTTAGTCGTAATAATATACACGTTCTTAATGTGCGTGGACCTATATAGGAATCTATTAGCCTTAACGCACATATTGTTTTTATTTTCTATAAATGCTTTATAGCTAGGTTTCTATACATATTCATACATTAATATATTACAAAGCAGTTAAAACTTTTTTTTTATTTGATAGTTTTTCCAATTCTTTCTCCAGCGTACTTGTCTATAACGCATATTTTATTAACAACGGCACGGAACGAGGGACGTTGATAACACTACAACAAGGAATAGAATTATTTTTTAAACAAAATCTTCTGGAAATTAATACAAAGAGTGATAATTAATTCATTTGTTTATTTTAGAATTCAATAAATTGTGACTTATTGTTGTAACGTAATGCAAAAAATAAACTCCATTTTTAATATTATTTTTTAATAATTTATTAAAATATAAATATATTTAAAAAAAAGTAAATATATATATATATATATATATATTTATTTATTTATTTTTTATTTTATATATTTTATTTTAATTTGTTTTTTCAATATTTTATTTTATTTTATTTTTTTTTTTGTCTCCATAGTTTGCAATTTTAATTGTAATACCACACCTCCAGTACATCTACTCCGGTACACGCCGGCGTGTGGTTTATCTGGATCACAAACGTGACTGCCTTTTAGAATTTATTTTTAGTTGATTTAAGTTGCATCTAAAACATATAGCAATTAACTTCATTTTACCGTAATCGTCTGTTTTTGTGGTTTATGTGTAAATGGTTTTAAATCATTTTCCAGCAGGATTAAAACGGTCAATTTCAACACTTAATAGCATTTATTTTTATGACTACATTAATCTTAACGTGATCATGTGGTAACTTTAAATGTTTTGAGAACCAAAAAGCAACATATTTGACTAACATTTTAAAAACTCAATGGAAAGTAAAAAAATAAATACATAGTATCCTTGCATACGTACACATAATGAATAATATCATTCAGTTCGATTTTATTGAACACGTATATAATAATAGTTTACATTTGATAATCTTCCCAGCTTAAATATTCTGAATATTGAGATATCATGTCACCTATTGCATCCCTTATGTATATATTGGCTTTGTATATCAATTAATTGTGGAAACTACATTCATCAAAAATGTGTTGTTTCTTTTTTTAATTCTTCTATCCACATTAGGTTAGAACATTTTTTTCTAAACATTTTTTTAATATCACGATTAATTGATTTTCATTTTTCTATTTAATTAATTACATTCTCATTTTTAATTTCTTTTATTATAGTAATTTTATCCTCATCGCCAGTTCCATAATTGCGTATATAATATTGTAAACATGATTCATGATATATATTTTTAGTAGTCATAGACATTTTATTCTGAAATAAGAGATTTTTTTATAAATAAAGGATTATTACAAAAAAAAATAAAAATATTAACATATAATTTATAACAACTTCTCTAGTTTGTTTAAATATCTTTTACTCGGTTTAATATCATGTATTAATAATAGACTATAACTATTAGAAAAAATTTAAAGTCGAAAAAATAAAAATAATATTTAATAATATATTTTATTTAAAAAAATCTTTTAATTTATATCCATTAGGCGGGAAACGTTCGATTAAAATAAAAATAAATAGATCATTTGCAAGACTGCAAATCGTATCATTGATATTATACCTCCTATTACTATTCTTATCATTTGTTTTTTTAGCTTTTGTTTTATATCTCTTATCGCTTGTTCAACGTAGACATTAAATAAAGATGGTGACAGTGGATATCCTTGTCTTACTCTTTTTTTTATACTAGCAGCCTTTGATGTGGAGTAGATTTTAATTTCTGCCTCTTGATTTTTATATATTGCATGTATAATGTTTCTATCTTTAATATCTATTCCAACATTTTCCATTATGTTAAATAGTTATTTTCAATTGACATTATCGAAAGCTTTTTCTAAATCTACAAAAGTAATAAAGGTTTACTTTTGCCTATCTATTTGTTTTTCTAATATTATTCTTAAGCTTAGTATTGCTTCTCTGGTACCTTTGTTTTTTTTCGAAAACCATAATGATCGTAATCTAGCTGTTCTTCAATTCTGTTTCCGATTCTTTTACTTATAATTATTGTTAGGAGTTTAGAAGCATGTGATAGTAGGCTTAAGGTTCTGAAGTTATTGCATTGATCTGCGGATCTGCCCCTGCTTTTTTTCGGTAATAATACTAGTGTTCTTTTGTAAAAGTCTTTGGAACAGTCTCTGTGTTGTATTTATCATGTATTAATTTGAATAGTTCTTCTTTTGTTTTTGTGCCGGCGTATTGCAGTAACTCTGTGTTTACATTATCTGGTCCCGGTTCTTTATTTGCTTTTATAATTTTTAATGCATATTCGAATTTAATCTTAAAATATTTGTAGTCGTCATGTTTTCCTGTGGGTTTCCATTTGTTTGCATTTAGATCAATGACTCGGATTTATTATCTTCATATAGAGTTTCTACATATTCTTCCCATCGGTTAGCTATTTTTTCCTCTTCAATTAGTATATTTCCATCTTTGTCATTGATGTATGCACGTATTGTTTTTTTGACTCCGAAATATGTTTTTATTATTTTATATTAAGATTTATCCTGCATGTTATTCTTCATCATGGTCTCTAATACTTGCACCACAATGAAATCCGTTGTTCTTTTACACGTCTCGCTTCTCTATTTATCTTATTTTTCAGTGCTCTATATTTTCTTATACTATCTAGGTCATTTTTATTTTTAAGCGCACTTCTTTTTTGTATGTCGTTAATTATTTCTTCAGTTATCCAAATTTGTATGGGGTCTTGGTTTTTTCTTTCTAAGAAGTTTTCTGCTGCTAAGGTAATGAATTCTCATTTCAACAATTCTTTGTAGAAATTTCATTAATTTCAAGGTTGAGAGTGTTTTGACATTTGATTGGTTCATCATATTTATTTTGATATTTTTCCTGCTATTTTTGGTACTTTTAGTTTTTCTAAGATCCATTAAATTTGTGGTATTTCTTATTTGGCTTTTTATTTTCTTGAATTTTAGGTCACATTTCATCATTAAAAGATTAATGTCACTGTTAATGTCTACACCTAGATATACTTTGCACGAACTGACTTGATTTTTGAATCTATTTTTGACCATTCCTGAGCAGTATAAAATCTATTTGGTATTTTCCAAGATTTCCAGTCATCATCCAGGTGTATTGTTTTCTTTTATATTTGTTGATTAAAGTGTTAAAGATAACCAACTCATGTTGTCTGCAAAACTCCAATAGTCGGCCACCTCTGTCGTTCCTTTTCCTTAATCCATAATTTCCAACTTCTCTTCCATCTAATCCTCCTCCAATAACTAAATTAAAGTCACCTATTATAATGAGATTATCCATTTGTTTTGTTAGTATAAAAAGTTCTTTTATATCTTCATAAATTTTTTCAACTTCTCCGATGTTGTCATTTAATGTAGGCATATATAATTGTAATATTACCGTGTTATTTGGGTATGATATAATATTTCACCATTATTAATATATCAGAAATTGCGGCTTATCCGACAACAAAATGTATATTTATTTAACATTTGTAATATATTGTGTACTTGGTTCAAAAAAAATAAAATATTTTACATAAATATCGTAGTTAATAATCATATATAATTTATTAAAATAATAGTTAGGCAATAGGTGTATATTCAACAATGCAAGTCTAATTAATTTATACCAAAAATACTATAAAAAAATCAGTTAAATAACACATATGTTATTATTTTTTGTGTTTTAACGCGTTTGTCAACAAAATTATTGAAAGTATCTGGTTAGTGATATATATTTAAACTCATACATATACAAACACGTTAAAAAATTACGTTTTTTAAGTAAAAAAGTAATAAAATTAATAACACATACAAATCACTCTTCTGCAAATCGAGTTTGTTTTTTATTATATTAGTTTGGCCAATATTGTGCATTTACGAGTGAATTTAAAATGAGCATATTCCTTACAATACTCGTGCTTTGTATGGGTTCGTATGACATTTAACATAACATATTATTTTAATTATTTAATTAGATATCTATACTTGTTTGATGGATAATTCTAGAGATCAAATCGCACATACATTTTCTTTAATATTTATATGCAGTTGAATTTCAATGAATTTTTTCTTGAATTTTAGCTTATATACATTCAGTAACGAATCTAAGCGTTTGGGATTTTTTGACTAATCCTGACTCTACTAAAGAAGAAGATCTTACATTAATACAAACAATGGATAAAGACGGCTTGCAGTTTTTCTATCTCAATGAGTACGTAACATTATTAGTCCAAAGGTCAAACAACCAATCATTTTGAATTATATTTTTATATTTTTTAAAAATTTTATAATAGAATGATGATAATAAAAACATGATAACCATGTCTTGTATTGAATTAATAATGAATGTGTGTATACAGTGTTATGTACTACGGTAAGTTGTCTACGTATAGATTATAATTTTTTAATTCATAAGTATCACAATTAATGTTTCAACAGCCTTTCAGTATTGATTTTATTTATTATAGTAAATAAAATGTAATTGTATTTAAGTTCAATTTCAATAAATTTTTAGAACCATACATATATTATGATTTGCGATTTTATAACATATATTATGAATATAATATAGTATTATTGCGTCTCGTTGAATAATATTGATTCATATGTCCTCGTGGAAACGATAAATCTGATATATTAATTATATAGTAAATCTTTATTTAATACACTAAAGTTTGGTGAGCAGTGTTACGACCTCACTCTGAAATTATTACTAAGACAAGAGTGTGAGTTGTGTTACGACCTACCTCTAAGCATATTGGTTATCTCTAACCGTCTGATGAGATCTGGCTCGCCTTGCCCTTATAAATTATCTTCACACAATGAGAGTCGGCGGTTGAGGTGGTCACTCACGATGATACTTGCACCATCGATTCGTGATCAGTGTTCTAATAAGTGATAGCCCTTGACTACTCACAGCAGAGATGTTTACTGAGATGTACGTAGCATGTAGTCGTGTTTTAATTGCTTAATTAAATAATACAATGCTCACACCATCAGCCCTGGTCTTTCATTGTCGGTGTCATTCGCTACACAGATCGTTGTGTCGCCACTCTATGTGAATAAATGTGTTGTAAACTATCGATATTATTATATGATCCGTGAATAAATAAGTCTTACAATAAAGTATTAAATTTTATTATGGGGCCTGTAATATACATAATTGTCAGCAATATTACAGGGTCCGTAACAGTATTTCTATAACAATTTATTTTATTTTATTTTATTTTTATGATTAAATAGAAAACTCGGACATGATAAAAGAATACAAATGGATTTGAATAATGTATCTGCTATAGTTAACTATTGGATGAAAGGTTTACCGTTAAAAGTTACTGTTCACGGATGGCATGGATCGGAGAATGCTATCTATGGTGTATATGAAATCAACGATGGTAAAACAAAACAACTAATATTATTCTTATTATTAATTAATACATCTTGTTGTACAAAGTTGATCTCAAAAATAATATTTAATTCAATACCAAATTATTAGCATACATCGGCCTTGGAGGGTACAATATAATCACAGTGGATTGGAGTAGTTTTGCAAGTAATTCTGAATATGCATATTCTGCGGCCTTGGCCCTAACCGTTGGTACTGGGGTTGCCGTATTTTTGGAAAATGTGGTTAATCTAACGGGAATTTTACCAGCGGATATACATTTAATTGGCTATAATCTCGGAGCCCACGTTGTAGGAAGATGTGCTTATCGTTTTGGAATGTGGAAATTCGGCAGACTTACTGGTGAGCACATTAAATGTAGAAACATTAAAGTAACATACATGCATTAGCAGATTCAGGTTTTTAAGTAGGGTGCCAAGGTTTCAAGTCTCGTATTCTGTAAACTACATAATCATGAAGGTAAAACCTTTTTATTTCTTTAACATGAGTGTTCTTAGTTTAAAAGTTGGGAATTTTTAAAACTATTTATTTTTTTTGTTTTTAATTGTGTTTTTTCTGTTTAAATATAATAAATGTCTCGACAAAAATTTAAATTTTAACAAATATATTTAATAATAAAAAGAATATAAATTTTTTTTGTCACATTAACCAATCATTAACTCCATTTTCTACTTATTTTTCATTCGAAGTTTCCTCCAATATATATTATATAAATAGGTCACAAGCCAGGAGTTACAGCTGGTATATTGTAATTGTAGTCTATTTACCTCATTGGCTCATTGAGTATTTTTAAAATTCTTAGTGTTTCTCATGAAGTTTTAATTTAGAGATTTACAAATTTGATTAGAAAATGCTTAAAAAATAATTACTTATTCAATTTCGGATGGTACTTGAATTTTATGTATAAAATTTACAATTCATGATTGTTATAACTTATAATGATTGACACCGTTGACATAAAATGATAACAGTTGTACCTAGATTTAATTCATAAGTTTATAATAAATATTAGACTAGCGATATGTAATTGATAATTTATCATATTAATGTCAATTTATGATGTGTATTTTTAAATTTAATACAATGTAATATTCAATAGGATTAGATCCAATTAAGATTCTAAGAAATAACAAAGACATGAATGTAACAGCATTCAACATAGATTATGCCAAATTTGTCGACGTTATTCACACTTCAGGAGGAAAATTTGGTGACATGAATAATTTAGGTCACACTGACTTTTATCCCAATTCCGGAGAAGTTAGTCAACCGGGATGTTATGATTCCTTACTTCCATCTTTAGGTAAGGAACTTGTAAATCTGAAAATTTGATGCAAGTTAATTGGCATGAATTGTTTTATTACATAATATATATCAAAGCAAATATCAATAACATATGTAGTATTTTGGTCGTGTTAAACAATATATTAAAATAATTTCCACGATTTAAAATCAGGTAGATAACTTTATTATTAAAGCGATTTTCTACTCGAATCCTAAGGTATTGGAAATTTAAATAAAATGAATAAATACAATAGAACACTAATTTTATATTTTTTTTATATAAGCAAAGTAACGTCTATTAGCTTTTTCTTAAAGAATAATAATGATAGAAGATATTATCAAGGAAATCATGATTGATTGACATTAAATAAAGGCATAAAGCTGGGTAACTTACCAATTAATCATCCATTGTGCTAACATATTTTATTAAATTAGAATTACAGAAATGCAGCCAGCAAAGAGCATATGAATATTATAGAGACTCCGTGATACATAATAATTCTTTTATTGCGGTATACTGCGGTTCGTGGGAATTTTATGCGTTACATCGCTGTGATGACCCCATATTTCTTAGAATACCTATGGGACATAGCGCAAAGCCAAGGTAAATTGATGAAATATATTGATACAATTTTATAGTTTTTATTATTTATGATTGTTCTATTATCCACGCTCGTTTAATTTACTTTAATTTGTTATCCGTAAATCTGTTAAGTGTAAAAAGCATTTAACATATACCAATGTGTGATACACATAACAATAACCAATATTTAAAACAAACATTTTTTTTTTTTTTTTTTTTTATTAAACAACTATCCGCGGCGTCTATGGCCATTGGATGTAACAGTACATTATTATCTTAAGTATATTTACATATTACATTAATATTTAAAAGGTATACAAAGTAATTTAGTATTTAAAACAAGACAAGGTAGTATTAATTAGGAGAGAGTTTGAGTGATTAGTATTATTTACAATTTACAGTTTGTTTATAAGATTCGTTTGTTTGAGAAATTGTATGATCTTGTGTATATTGTTGGGGTCAGGGTTGAGTGCTTCGGCGAGGTGGTTGGATATTTGGTATAGCCTTCTTTCTTTGTCGTATACTTTGCATTCGGCTAGGATATGTTTCACAGTAAGGAGTGTTCCGCAACATGTGCAAACTGGGGGGTCTTCCTTCTTCATTAGGTGAGAGTGTGTAAGGTGGGTGTGACCAATTCTGAGACGGTTTATAGAGGTCTCTTGTTTTCTTGAGATGTTATCTTGGGAAGGATACGGTAGGCTGGATCTCTTGATTTCATTAAGCTTAGTTGACATTTCATTCCATTCCTTTTGACAGTGAAGTAATGTATCCTTTTCGATGGCCCTCTTTATGTCATTGAGGGAGAAAATGGGTAAAGAGAGAGAATTTGGGGATGAGTGAGCGAGTTTGGCGGCTGTATCTGCTAGTTCGTTGCCGTCTATGTTACAGTGGCCAGGGATCCAAGAGTATGTGATGTTTTTGTCCTGTTGTTTTGCTATAAAGTGGGTATTTTGGATTTTTCTGACGATATCAGACGGGGAATACAGATTTTGGAGGCTGGTAAGAGCGGAGAGGGAGTCACTGAATATTGTAATATTGCTATCATTTATTTCAGAAATGGTGAACTCGATAGCCTTGAGGATCGCCAGGGTTTCTGCTGTATATATCGAACATTTGTCTGAGAGTTTCCATTGTATTGTAGTTTCATCGCATATGATAGCCATCCCGACTCGCCCTTCGATGATGGAGGCATCTGTATATATATGAGTTTGTGGGTGGGCGCGTGAGCAAAGGTCTCTGAATGAATTCTTGAAAATGTGAGGACAGGTTGAGTTTTTAGGGAATTGATGTAGGTCAATGTTAATATTCATGCTGAACTGCCATGGGGGGAATAGGGGTTTTTCATATGGGATTATATTTTCGAGGTCATATTTTATGTATGTGTGATTGAATATATGTTTAGGGTGATGAATTTGATTTTGGGGGGATCTAGATATTCTTGCTGCTAATTTGTGGGTTTGTTCTCTCCACCGTACTTCTAGGGAGGGGATTCCTGCAAACATTCTTTATGATGTTAATTTATATTTTATTTATTACAAGCGTAGTTTCAAAATATTTTAATGAATAATGTTCTTTTAATCATAAATAGAAAAGTCAAAAAAAAAAATGTATTATAATTAAAATTTGTATATTCCCTTTAAGTTAATATTTTTATGTAAGTGTATTTTTTTATCATTAACTGTTATCGTTTTTAGTCCTTTTACTATGGGAGCTTACTACATGTACACCAATGACAAAAGTCCTTTTCATGGGGAATGAATTAGTAAATCTGTAACCAATTTTGTGCTTTGTTTTCGAAGTGTCCAATCCCGACTGCACTTGTTTGCCTGCAATCATTCAACTGCGAGGGGACTCCGTGTCATCATCGGACGAGCTTGGCTAAACCAGGTGGTCGTCTTCTTTATTTTTTGTACACCATTTTTCTATATTTTCTTATATTATTGTACGTTTTATTATTATTATTATTATTATTATTATTATATTAGTATATTGATAACTATTCCCATAATGTCTTGTACTAGGTCCATTATTAAAATTATAATTATTAATATTATTTGGATTATTGTACAATATTCTTTATCGGTTTAAAAAACAAACATAATGAGATATATATTTTGGGTAACCCACTACGCTCCTGTGTGGCTGTGTACAACATAACATACGAGTCGATGCCGACAACCACCGAATCATTGTGGGATCGGTAACGGCGCAACACCTATCGACTAAAGTTCAAGTTAAAAACTGATGCCGAATGTCGGATACTTAAACCGCTTTAGAGTCTCAACGATATCTGTATATAACATTGTTAAACAAATGTAGTTTTTTTAATTTCTATGTGAAGAAATCTATTAAATAAGTCAAATCACTTGTATTTTCTTATTTAGTGTGTTCTTAAAAATAATTTTCCACAATGTTGATTTATAATGTTTTAATATACCACGTAATTGCTTACAATAATCATATTAATCACACATTATTTGAATATACCATATTCATATATTATAAATATCAAAAAATAATGCAAAATAATGACTTCAATAGATCACTAAAATTTCATATTATGAACAAAAATACAAAATAACACTGTTTTATAAAATCCAACTAAACATAGAGTTAATCACATTTATTAAATAATTTAAATCCTGTATAGTTATACATAACATTAAATATAATAAATTAACATTCGAAACTATAAATTACTTTAATGTTTATTAAACATTTTATTTACTCTTGACCAAATTTACAATTTTCATGACAGCTTATGAATGACTTTACATAATGTTTAGTATTGCATATTATTTACGAAAAATATTATAAAACCATCAACAGCAAAATATATTTTTACTTAAAAATTGTATTTTTTTGTGTGATCGGTACAAAAAAAATAAATAAAAATTAATCAGTATATGAAATGTATAGTCAAAAAATATATCCTTTGTTTTTATCAGTTACGTAATAAGTGTTATTAAACTACACAAATATAATTATTATGATTCATCTATGTGCAAACATGACAAACAAATTATTTTATACGAAAAAATACGTTTTTCGGTAAACAAAATTGTACAATAATTTAAATTAATGCTTTAAATAAATTTGAAATGTAATATAACAAAAATTTACATTTAAATAAAACTAAGAAAAGTATCGGTTTTCTGTAGTTAAATTTTGAAAATGTATATTGTTTTTATATTCAAACCCTTACTATTTAGACGTATATGTCCTATAAAGTTTCTTTTCAACCCACTGCCTAATATAATAAGTCCCTTTAAATAATGTCGGTGCTCGATGTTTTAACGTATTAATTCTATCCTGGGTTTTCGATTTTGATCCGTGATCGTGCTTGGTCATCTTTTGCCGTTTACGACGTTACATGCAGTCTTTTCTCTAACCTTTGTGTTGTGTTGCAACCGTTAGGTACTAATCTGTTAAGATTTGTCTGCATGTTATATTTTTATGAAACATCGAAGTTATGGAATGCACGCAACGATCCTCTCAGTATTCGCGCTTGTATTTTGCGCCACTTCGACCATGCACGTGATTCGGTGGTTCATTTCTACTCCAAACATCATGTAAGCAAATCAGCACTGCAGTTCCGCTACAATCAACCATGTTCAAGAAGAAGTGTCTAGAATAAGAGAGCGGTGATCCTCGTCTCACCATTTTTAGTTAATGATAAAATAACACGGGCTGTATCGTTTAATATATAAATGGAATTTAATATAATTAAATTGCCACTCAAGACGGTCTGCAGGACCTTGTAGCTGGCGTACGCCCTAGTAAGGACATTTAGCGCAAACAGTTGGTATATTATGTCCAAATGGTATTTTAACCTTTAAAATGTTATTTGATATGTTAGCTAGTAGATAATAAAATTTGTAGTATGACCAAAATATTTTATTAATTGATGTAATACTAAAAATTATATAATTATTAATTAATTTTATTATATATTATTAATTTTAAGTAATTATTAATTGGATTACAAATTCGAAGAATTCCAAACTAGTATTCAACGAGTTAAGCTATTTAAAATTAACCTTTAGAGTTGTTCTAAATTATTGTTGTTTTAATTTTAAGTTATTTAATTTTTTACCATTTAATTTTATTATATTTTGAAACGATAAAATATTTAACATTTCTAATTTATTTGTGGTTTTAGGTACAATTATTCACATTACGATTTGATGGGTTAAATCTTAACCCCCCCCCCCCCAAAAAAAAAAAAAAAAATGAAACAGTAAATTCCTCTAAAATTTTTGCTACTGTATTACACTTACGTAAATTCTGCTAAAAATATTTTTCTACCTTTTTCAAATTATGTTAACTCTCTTAACAACATTTTACAAAAAATATTAGAGCAACTAGCACAACCCATAAGACACATCGTGGATGTGATTCTATACTTATCCTCTAAAAATGTATGCATATTTAAATACATTTTTATTTTGTACTTGAAAAAAAAAATCATTATTATGCTAGATTCACTCAAATTATTATCATTGAATCGTTATTGATTATTTTTGATTGTGTAATAATGTGAAACATTACATGTGCTTGTTATTAATATATTAATACATGCAAGGTAGTAATTTTAATCAATTTAATGAAAGGAAATAAAAATAAGACTATAGGTTAGAGAGATAGTGGAAAAAGATAAAAGTATGAAAGGACTAGGATCTGATGACATAAAAGGAATAATAGCACAGGGATTAATATGCTTGCAAATATTTAATTAATATTATGAATGCATATATTGCACTTTTGATAAACCAATCGACATTTTTCAGTGTTCTTCAACCTACTTCTATATCATGTTTTTTTCTCAATCAGTTATCTCCTATCGATAATCTTCAATTATTATTTTAATAGAAACAAGATTCATTTGTACTCAGATATCATAGCTTTTAATTATATTTTCTTCTTTAGCGGTACGTTTATTTTTTACAAATTAAATGAATTTGTCAAAAATCTTTTTTCTAGTGTATTTTAAAAGCGTTTTTTGTGCAGATATCTAAACGTTTATTTTCTCTATCATCTAAGTTATAATATTTTATGTGCTTGTGCACTAAGTAAGTCGTCATCACTCTTAAAAATTTGAGTATTAATAATTCAAAATTTTTGAATTAAGCTTCTGAAAATATATATTTCATGTCGCTGCATATATTTTTGTTTTTTATTTTTTATTGAAATATAATGAAAACGTGTTTCCGAATTCGTCAACTACTATAATTGTTGTAAATTGTAAACCGTATTCATCGGTATAATGGATAATATTAATACATACTTTGAAATTTGAGTAGTGTTCGAACGCAGATATGCTTCTCGCTGTCGAGGCGGACAACCAGTTCCCATAAATTGGTGCTACTGCGAAAGTTCACGAAGTTGTCACCGCCGACGCGGTTGACTGTTACTTTGGATTCTTTGCTTTTTCTTTTCGACGTTCGGACTTGGCGAACTTTTTCCTCACGTACGTTGTTATACACTCTATGGATCACTTTTTTTATGTAATGTTTGTTATAAGATAACGTTAATATCTTTAATTGGTGGTCCGTTTGTATATGATTTATAATTAGTCATCATTTTGAGGTCAACTCTTACTTAAAATTGTGTTTTTTTTTTTTTAATTATAATGTTGTAATTGTGTCTATTAAATTACCTAACTACGCTCGTAGTTTAAATGAAGACATTCAGAAACAATATATAGACAAAATACAATTGGTAAATTTTTAAGATCCATACTTTTTGTTGAAAGACAACAGATTTAAACATAGTGCCTTTAACTACTTACCCTGGTATTTTTATCTACCTCGTTTCAACTAAAAATGCTTACACATTAGATGAATTTAAAGCGCACAAAAGTGTGGATGCATAATTTTTTTGTTAGTGGTTGGGTTTCAAATGTCGAATGGACAGTGGAAGATAACTATGTTCTTGTAGTTTCTGAAGTAAGTCGAGTATAAGAATGTGATTGTGTGTTGTACTTAAAAAGTATATAAAGATTGGAAAATTGGTTTTGCCTATGACATGTTACATAGGTAAATAAGTGGGTGGTTACAATATAATTGAAGTCTTACACCTTTTTTTACAAAATTATACCTATTTATTTATGCATATATTATTTTTTGGGAAGTAAGTATATTAGTGTATCGACTCAAAATGTCATGTATTATGTGTGTTAAAATACAACGGCGCCCCTGAGAGATTTCAATTGTTACTCGTAATGAGCCCATCGTCTCTACATTATTATAATTTTTGTTTAGGTAGCGCATTCTCAAATGTTAAATAACACTAGGTTACTGCCATGGGTTATAGTTTATGTTAATGGCAAGGTTGAAGCTGCCTATTGCTTATGTATGGCTGGATTAGGTTAATGTTGTTCACATGTAGGAACAGTCCTTTTTATTTGTAGCATGCAATTTAATATTAAAAGTACAAAATGCATTACAGATGTCTATGCATATTGTGCTGCACCATCTCATGACAGATCTATACCCAATAAAATAAGTAAAATAAACGTTAATTATCCAAAGAACATGGCTTATACACAACACAAATTGAAACCAAAATCTAGTAATATACAGAAGATACCTATAACACTTAATGGTTCAAATACGTTAAACTATTTTTTGAGAAAATTACAAACCATTAACAGTCAAACTAGTATTTTAAAAGTTGTAACTCCATTTAATTCAAAGTTTGTAAAAAATAATTTTCCAAAATGATTAATAATTTTTTTTAAAGACGAGTATGCCACATGAAGTAAATAAAATAAGTAGATATAAGTTCAAAATTAGATTTTTCTTTAAATGAAAACGATTTTTCTGCTATAAAAAAATCAACAAAACTACAATTAGAAGTGGCCTTTTACAGCTTCTAGAACCAAGGACATTTGCGCCTTTAAACCATATAATTCAAATATTAGTCTAATAAAAACAATAAACTACCAATCATAAAAAAAACGGTTTAAAAGAGCTGTTACGGAATGGGGTAAAATCGAAAAATTAAAAAAAAAGATCACATTAATTTTTCATTTACCATCTTTGGGCTAGTAATTAATCCAAATTTTCTATATATTTGTGCCAGTCCAGATGGAATAATAAATTGTGATTGTTATGGTAAATGCTGCGAAGCAATAAAATATGTTCCTATAGCTTATTTAAAGACAAAAATATAGGAATTATGATTTATTTAAATAGTGGAAAGTTAACTAAAAGTCATCAGTATTATTATCGGGTACAAATAGTAGGCATTTTAAATAATAGATAATGACGAATAAATTAACAAACAACAGATTAAATCAAAACTGAAAACGTAGCGATATAGCAATCTACGTGCAATAATAATATTCGTCGTTTGTTGGACCGCCAATTGGTGATAACACGTGATTAATAAGATAACGTAATAATTGTTCGAATATCGTCCAGTTGGTTATTCTTGGTCACTTGATCGCGAGGCATATAGGTATCCGATTTTTGCGTCAAACTCATTTCCTAGCGTGATCGCTGTTCTTGTGCTGAGTTTTAACACCCCGACCGACGTTTTGTTCGAGCGATTGTCACACCGACGACATCGACAATCCGTCGTGCAACCACTCGTTTCCGTGTGTTGGCCGACCGTTGTTAGTGCGTTTTTAATTGCGTCAATCATATGGTATGTCGTGAGGGCAAGACGTGTTACCGTCGGAAAATTCATTATACACATCGTCGTCATTCGTCGATCTGCAAACGGCCGTCGTTGTCGCTCGTGTCATCATCTCCGCCCTAGACGTAAACGTCATTTGGCGCGTTCGCCTCAAGTCACTGTCGGCTTACCAGCGTGGAGGAATCAAGTAGCGATTCGGTCTCATTTTTCTACGATCGTCGTCCGTCGTGTTACCATCGCTGTCGTAGCCATTGGTAACTTTTTATAATCGTCCTCATACGGGTGGAGCATTTGTTTTGTTACTATTAATATATATTATTGTATATATTTAAATTATTGTGTTAATTTCGGGCACACATCATTATAATTATTATTATTATTATTTATATCTAATTATGTTTGCGTTTATTGATGTGTAAACATCTATCGGTTCAACATCTAACAATGCTATCGGTTTGTAGTACGAACTTCTTGGGGAATCGAGCGTTAGGCGTAAGTCATGTATATGTGACTGCTTGAGTGTGTGTGTGAGGCTATTGCTCATGATATTCGTGCAGGCTACCTAACATACATAATAATATAATATAATATTTATATATATATATAATATTCTATATATTGAGATACGCAGATTATCTATAGAAATTTTATTATATTATTTGTTTATCGGAGTTACGACTAATACATATCAATTAACATCGGTTTCATGGAAGAAAACACACTTAAATATTATGATAAAGATACCAATCAACGCGCATTTTTTTTCCAACGATTGACATGAAAAAATTAAATTTGAATTTTTTGGAGTTACGCCGTTTGCTAAATAAGCTATATATAATATATCATAATTAATAATATATAATAAATAATAATAATTTATATAAATTATTTATAATAATAAAAAAATATATATAAATAAAAATAAAAAATTTAAATATAAATTTTAAAGAGAACGCGATCTTGTATGATTATTATTACCTTATTATAAAAAATTCCCACTCAAACCATGACATTATATTCCCCAATCAAAGTCGTACTGCAGCTAAGATGTTTACACATCATTCATGAGTACAAAGTCACTTACATAGGTTTTTTTATTATTATTTGGTGCGCATGGCGCTATAAAATTTCGTTATTGTTCACGTTAACCAGTGGGTAGCCTTACGTCATAATACATCGGGAGTATCGGGGCCGACAATAATCATTATATTGGTAGGAGCGGTCACGGCACAAGAAGAAAGTTTCAAAACGTTGAAGATTTGTAGATACTACTAATAGATACATTTTTTTAATCAGACTGTAATGTAAAACAGTATGTTCTTTATTGAAAATTCATTTGATTTATTCACATCAATAAACTCAGGTAAGTGCTGACGACCTTCATACGAATTAAAATATCTTTGAGTATTTCACAGATCCTTTTTAGTTATTAACGTTTGAACTTAATGTGTATAATGAACTTATGTCATCTAATATTTTTCCAGTGTAGCTCCTTCAGATAAAAACTGAATCATTGAATTTGGCCTTATTATAGCTGTGTAAGTAGCTAACTATTAAGACGAATATCTAAATATTATATAATTATAAATTATAATATTATCTACCTACCTTTAGATATCTCTAACGGAAATGACTTTTCGTTGAAATTCGTCTGACCATTTAAGCTCGCTATTACATTGTACAATGTACATTAATCAGTTTTGGTTTGTGTGGCTTAACAACTCAATGTCTAACATTTAAAAAGTGAGTTCTATTCGCATGACTTATACAATACATATAGATAAGTATACTATATATTAAACCTATAATTATTAGTAATCTCTTAAATGATTCCTGTTGAAGTTACAAGAGTCTACAAAGAAGTAGAAGTTATCTTGCTGATAGGATAGATCATCGTTTTTCTGATAACGGCTCTCAATGAATATACGTATTATATTGCACTGGTTGAATTCCGAATTTATTTTATGCAAGCTATGTTTTTCGAACAAAAAATAATAATAAAGATATCCGTTATAATTTTTTGAACGAAAAAAAAGTTGCCGATACCTATAATAATTCAAACAAAAAAAAACTTTGTGTAAGGCTAACTATAAATATATTTCATGCAAATTCGCACGAGAAATGCATATTATAAAATATTTCATTGTTAAAAAAAAAATACGTAAATAAGTTATTTATAGAAAAATATGATTTAGTGCATTATTACGACTTAACGAAAACACTGTCTATTCCAACATATTCCATTATGTTAAATAGTTATTTCCAATTGACAATATCGAAAGTTTTTTCTAAATCTACAAAAGCAATAAAGGTTTACTTTTGCCTATCTATTTGTTTTTCTAATGTTATTCTTAAGCTTAGTATTGCTTATCTGGTACCTTTGTTTTTTTCGAAAACCATATTGATCGTAATCTAGCTGTTCTTCAATTCTATATCAGATTCTTTAATAAATATTTTTTAGAGTTTAGAAGCATTTGATAGTAGGCTTATATTTCTACTAAATTCTTTATCTCTTTTCAACGATTCTATGTAGAAATTTTATTAATTTTAATGTTGAGGATTTTTTGACATTTGATTGGTTCGTCACCTCTATTTTGATATTTTTAGTTTTTCTAAATTCCATTTAAGATATTTCTTCTTTGGCTTTTTAATTTACTTGAATTTTAGGTCACATTTCATCATTAAGAGATTGTTGTCACTGTTATTGTCCACACCTAGGTATGCTTTGAACGAACTGACTTGAATTTTAAATCTATTTTTGATCATTTCTGACCAGCAAAAAATCTATTTGGTATTTTCCAAGATTTCCAGTCATCTTCCAGGTGTATTGTCTTCTTTTATGTTGGAGATTACCAAATCATGTTGTCTGTAAAACTCCAATAGTCGGTTACCTCTGTCATTCCTTTTCCTTAATCCATAATTTCCAACTTCTCTTCCATCTGATCCTTCACCAATGACTACATTAAAGTCACCTATTATAATGAGATTATCCTATTGTTTTGTTAGTTTTAAAAGTTCTTCTATATCTTCGTATATTTTTTCAAATTCTCCATTGTCGTCATTTAATGTAGATATATAAACGTGTAATATTACAGTGTCCTTTGGGTATGATCTTAATTTCACCATTATTAATATATCAGATATTGCGGCTTGTCCGATTACAAATTGAATATTTATTTAACTATGTAATTTGTTGGGGGCTCAATTCAAAAAAAAAAATATTTTACAGAAAGATTGTAGTTAATAATTAAATATAAGTTTTTTAAATAACAGTTAGAAAATAGGTGTATATTCAACATTGCAAGTCTAATTAATTTATACGACAAATACTATAGAAAAGTCAGTTAATTTGCACATATGTTATTATTTTGTGTGTTTTAACGCGTATTTCAACAATATTATTGAAAGTATTTGGTTAGTGATATTTATTTAAACTCATAGATATACAAACACGTTGAAAAAATCATTTTTTTTAGGTAAACAAAGTAATAAAATTATTAAAACATACAATCACTCTTCTGCGAATCGAGTTTGATTTTTATTATAACAGTTTGGCCAATATTGTGCATTTACGAGTGAATTTAAAATGAGCATATTCCTTACAATACTCGTGCTTTATATGGGTTTGTATGACATTTAGCATTACATATTATTTTAATGATTTCATTAGATATCAATACTTGTTTGAGGGATAATCCTAGAGATCAAACAGCACATACATTTTATCTAATATTTAAATGGAGTTGAGTTTACAAAGGATGTTTTTTTGAATTGTAGCTTCTATAAACTCAGTATCGAATCTAAGCGTTTGGGATTTTTTGACTAATCCTAGCTCTACTATAGAAGAAGACCTTACACTAATACAAACTTTGAATAAGGACGGCTTGCAGTTTTTCTATCTCAATCAGTATGTAACATTATTAGTCTATAGGTTAAATAAACTAATCATTTTGATTAATATTAGTATTATTTTTAAAAGTTTGAAAAAATAATGATGATAATAAAATATGATATATATGTCCTATTTTGTAATAATAATAAATGTGTGTATACTGTGTTATGTACTACGGTAAGTTGTCTACGTATAGATAATAATTGTTTTAATTTTTAAGTAACACAATTAATGTTTCGACAGCCTTTCAGTATTGATTTTATATTTAATAGTAAATAAAATGTAATTATATTTAAGTTCAATTATAATACATTTTTAGAAACTTGTATTATGATATGTTTTTTTAAAAATATATTATGAATTCATAGTATTATTGCGTCCCGATGAACAACACCGATTCCATATATCCACGTAGAAACGATAATACTAATATATTAAATATATAGTAAATTTATATTAAATTTAAAATAATATAAAAATACATAATTATTTGGTGAGTGGTTATATGACCTGACTCTGAAATAAATACTAAGCTATGAGTGTGAGTTTTGTTTACGACCTAACTCTAAGCGATAGGTTATACCTAGCCATCTGATGAGCTCTGGCTCATGTTGCCCTTATAAAATGTCCTCACACAATTAAATTCGACGGCGGATTTGGTCACTCACGATGACGCTTATACCATCGATTCACGATCAGTGTTCTAATAAGTGATGGCCCTTGACTGCTCGCAGTAGCGATGTTTTCTGAAAAGTACGTAGCATGTAGTCGTGTTTTAATTGCTTAATTAAATAATACAATGCTCACACCATCAGCCCTGGTCTTTCATTTTCGGTGTCATTCGCTACACAGATCGTTGTGTCGCCCATCTATGTGAATAAATGTGTTGTAAACTATCGATATTATTATATAATCCGTGAATAAATAAGTTTGCAATAAAATATTCAATATTATTACAGGGCCTATGATATAAATTATCAGCGATATTACATGGTCTGTAACAGTATTTCTATAACAATTCATTTTATTTTATTTTTATGATTAAATAGAAAACTCGGACATGATAAAAGAATACAAATGGATTTGAATAATGTATCTGCTATAGTTAACTATTGGATGAAAGGTTTACCGTTAAAAGTTACTGTTCATGGATGGCATGGATCGGAGAATGTTATCTATGGTGTATATGAAATCAACGATGGTAAAACAAAACAACTAATATTATTCTTATTATTAATTAATACATCTTGTTGTACAAAGCTGATCTCAAAAATAATATTTAATTCAATGCCAAATTATTAGCATACATCGGCCTTGGAGGGTTCAATATAATCACAGTGGATTGGAGTAGTTTTGCAAGTTACTCTGAATATGCATATTCTGCAGCCGTGGCCCTAACCGTTGGTACTGGGGTTGCCGTATTTTTGGAAAATGTGGTTAATCTAACAAAAATTTCACCAACGGATATACATTTAATTGGCTATAATCTCGGAGCCCACGTTGTAGGAAGATGTGCTTATCGTTTTCGATTGGGGAAAATCGGCAGAATTACTGGTGAGCACATTAAATGTAGAAACATTAACGTAACATACATGCATTGACAGATTCGGGTTTTTATGTAGGGTGCTGAAGTTTCAAGTCTCGTATTCTATAAACTCCATCATGACAGTAAAACCTTTTTTTTTCTTTACCATAAATGTGCTTAGTATTAAAAAAGTGGGCATTTTAAAAACTGATTTATTTATTTTTTTTTAAATTCTGTTTTTTGTGTTTAAATACAATTAATGTCTCGACAAAAAAATTAAATGTTATCAAATTCATTTAGTAGAAAAATTAAATAATATAAAAAATATTAATTTTTTTAAGGCACTTAACCCAATCTTTAACTCCACTTTCTACTTATTTTTCGTTGGAAGGTTTTCCACAATATACATTAAATAATTAGTTCACAGGCATAGGAGTAGCAGCTGGTATGTTGAACTTGTAGGTCTAAATTGATTTATTTATTGATATTATGTTTTTGAATTACCAATTCGACGAATTTATGCAAGTATTGAACAAGTGAAGGTAGCTATTTTAAGTAATCTATTGTGTTATTCGACGATATTGCAGCTTTAATCGTACTTGTTCCTTTTTTTTTATCTACCTTTATTATATTTTTAACTTAACATTTTCGTATGTTACTTGAATTTTAATATATAAAATTTACAATTCACGAGTGTTATAACTTATAACGATTGACACCATTGACATGAAATGATAACAGTCGTACCAAGATTTAATTCATAACTTTATAATAAATATTAGACTAGCAATATATATTTGATTATATATTATAATGATGTCCATTTATGAAGCGTATTTTTAAATTAAATACAATTTAATATTTATTAGGATTAGATCCAATCAAGATTCTAAGAAATAACAAAAACATCCATGTACCACCTTTGAACAGAGATAACGCCCAATTTGTCGACGTTATTCACACTTCAGGAGGGAAATTTGGTTACAATGGACCTTTAGGTCACGTTGACTTTTATCCCAATGAGGGAAAAGTTGGTCAACCGGGATGTCATGATTTATTGTCACCATTTTTAGGTAAGGAACTTGTAAATCTGAAAATTTGATGCAAGTTAATAGGTATGAATTGTATTTTTGATGTAATTTATATCCTAGCATATATTAATAATATATGTAGTATTTTGGTCGTGTAAAACAATATATTAAAATAAATTCCACGAATTAAAATCTGGTAGATTACCTTATTATTAAAGCGATTTTCTACTCGAATCCAAAGGTATTATTAATTTAAATATAATGAATAAACAGAATAAAATACTAATTTTATATTTTTTTCATATAAGCAAAGTAACGTCTTTTAGCTTTTTATTAAACAATAGTAATGATAGATGATATTATCAAGGAAATCATGATTGGTTGACATTAAATAATGGCATAAAGCTGGGTAACTGACCAATTAATCAGCCATTGTGCTAATATATTTTATTGAATTAGAATTACAGAAATGCAGCCAGCAAAGATCCTATGAATTTTATAGAGATTCTGTGAAATATAATAGTTCTTTAATTGGGACTAAATGTAACTTGTATGATGATTTTGTGTACCATCGCTGTGATAACAACGAAAAAATACCTATGGGACACAACGCAAAGCCAAGGTAAATTGATGATAATATATATTTGATACAATTTAATATTTGTTAATTATTATGAGTAAAAATTCAGTGTTGTACTGCTATCCACGTTTGATTAATTTATTTTGCTATTTGTTAATCTGTTAAGCATCACGGTTGCTAAAAGTGAAAAAAGCATTTTACATTTATCAATGTGTGATACACATAACAATAGCCAATTTGTAAAAGAAACATTCTTTATGTTATTAATTTATATTTTATTTATTACAAGCGTAGTGATAAAATATTTTAATGAATAATGTGCTATTGTTCATAAATAGAAAACTCGAAAAAAAACAATTTTTTATGATAAAAAATGGTATATACCCCTTAAATAAATGTTTTTATGTTAGTGTATATTTTGATCAACAACTGTTATCGTTTTTAGTACTTCTGGTGGAGGAACTTATTTCTTGGTCACCAATGACAAAAGTCCTTTTCATGTAATAAATTAGCAAGTCTGTAACCAATTTTGTGCTTTGTTTTCCTCGCGTCCAATTCCGACTGCCCTTGTTTTCTATAACATCATTCCAATTGTTCACCTGCGAGGGGATTCTATGTCATCATAGGACAAGTTTGGCTAAACCAGGTCGTCTTTTTTATTTTTTGTATTCTATTTTTCTGTATTTTCTTATATTATTGTACGTATTATTATATTATTATTATTATTATTATTATTTATATTATTTTTATTATTATTATTTTTTTCATTATTATATTAGTACATTGATAATTATTCCCGTGACGCCCTGTACTAGGTCTATTAATATAATTATAATTTTTAATATTATTTGGATTATTTTAAAATATTTTTTATTAGTTTTACATACGCACAGAACAAACGTAAAGGGATGTATCATTTAATCTATATCTTGGGTAACCCCCTCCACTCCTGTGTACATCATAACATAGGAGTCGTTGCCGAAAACCACCGATCACTGTATGATCGGTAACGGCGAACACCTAGCGACTAACGTTCAAGTTTAAAACTGATGCCGAATGTTGGATACTTAAACCGCTTTAGAGTTGCATCATTTGTTCACTGCGAGATTTGTGTTTATGATCTTTATAACTTGATGATATTATAATTGGAGGTTCTAGTATTTTTATAAAATCTGGATATTTCTTAACACAACAACGCCATTTTTTTTTCACCAGTTTTAACCAATGTACGTTCAAAATAATAATTATACATTTTATATAAAATTAATGAACGACTGCATTCACTAGTTATAAATTTAATTTCTGACATCTCTATACAAATGAATAAAAAAATAAATACGCTATATGTTAAATATCACACGAAACACAAATAATGTAATATATTTATTATAGATTTATTTATGTCAAGCAATGATGATGGTATATAATTGACTGAAAAGGAAAAATAGTTATCTTAAACTAATAAAAATAATCGATCGTCAAAACAATATTGGTAGTAATTCAATAAAATATATGATATACCAAAACTACTATATCGCTTTATACAGTATCTAAACGATTAAGATTAAATTTTAACTTCGTTCAGAATCTAAAAAAATACGGTTTATTCGATAGTTTAATATAGATTAAATTAATAATTATATCATTGTTATAATATTAAATCAATAAAATGCTTATTGATACTACAATGAGATATTTATTAATAAATAAAAACTAAGCAATATTGAAATAACTAATAAATTTTAGATTTTTCTAATAAATCTATAATACACTTTAGGTATTCAATCGACATTCCGTGTAGCATTTAGAGGAGTATATGGAAGTGTAATACACGGTAGCGAAATGTGTTTAGGGAAGTTTACGTAAGTTTAATAAGGTAGCAAAATGATTTTAGGGGAATTTACTATTTCATATTTTAGGGAAGTTGACATTTGCCTAGCCGGACTCGAGGGAACTAAGGCGATGCTTCATAGGATCGCTGAACGCTTTCCGCACTAAAACTCACTAGCCGGAAGAGTGACGGGATACTCCACGGAGCCTGGCCGCGGTAGCAGCTCATTACGATGTCTAAGTTAAGGTGGCGCTACGCGCAGATTTTCGGGGTGCCTGGCTCCAGGGAGCTTATCCTGGTCTTTCGCACGGATGAGGTAACTCCACGGTTTTATAGAGGATCAAAGGGTCTCCAGGATAAAATCCGGAAGCACTTATCAAACCCCGCAACACACGGAAACATGTTGTAAGAATTTGGTAGTTTGCTAGGCTACCAAAAGCTACCCACGACCAAAGGGGAACACTTCGGTCGTGACCTATGAGCCGCACCGCGTGTTAGCCCGAAGGCTAAGTCGGTGGAACTCATAGGCTTTGTACACGCAGTGGTGAATGAACACCAAAGATTTATTTAAAAAAAGGGAAAAGAAGACATAATATAAAAAAAAATATAAATTAAATAACAAAAGAAAGTTAGGGTAATCAGAGGTATTGTATTTTGCAATGATGCACAACGTGCAATAATAGATATTTGTGAATAATAATAATAATAATAATAATAAACTGGCAATTTCGAAAAAGATAATAATTGTTGCCTCATGGCAATTGTTACAAAAGAGTGTATTATTTGGGCACAGGCGTTTAACACATGATAACATACACAATAATGTTGGGACATGGCAGTCATGTGCGTATAATAAAAGTGGGACGGGAATTAGGTAAAGAATATATATATATTTGCTTTGGACTGAGCGAACCCACGGATCAGCCCACGAGGTTCGGCGGAACACATATTATTTTTATATTAAATTTTATTCGCCAACCATAGGGTTACCGTCCGGCATATCGCTAAGGACGGTAAGGATGGGAGGTAACAAAAAAAACTGCGCCAGGCGCAACAGTTGACACATCTTAAAAAGTTATCCTAACGCAAATAAAAAGGAATATGGGGGGGGTGGATTTTAATATATTACAATATTTTTGATGGACGACGAGGCTGCTGACGGTTGACCGACGGCTGCGATGGGCTGGCCAGATGGCCGTCGACACACACGCGGTCGACATGGCCCGTCTGCATCGGTCAGTGGCTGAAAGTTGCTTCGCCCGACATCGAGCCCGTGGTGACGTTTAGCACATCATGGCGTAGACACAGCGATGTTGTAGAAAGAAAAACGAACTTCGCCGGGTATACATGTGTTTGTGTGGACACGTGGTTTGGACAGCTGAATTAACGGTGAGGCTGGGCGCACGAAAAAGAGCCACGACCGGTTCAAATGGCGGTGGAAAAAGTAGTCCGATGGAGCTGGCTGGACGGTGGCCGGTGTTGATAGTTGAGATGTTGAGGTGGGGAAGTGCAGGGTAGGTGTATTGCGGGACTTTTACAATAATGTGGAATTTTGATAACTGTACTGCGGCGAGTGCACCGACGGACGCGACAAAAACGCTGGAGGTGACGGGAGGCGGGCAACCGCGGCACGTCGACGACGAACACTGCACGAGGACGGGGGGGACGGGGGACATTTATTGCATAGCACTGCGGTCATTTCTTCATTAGCGCGCGATATTCATAACAATATATGGATAAGGTATGTTTGTTAATGGTACTATAGGTACAGGTATGTTTATGACATTGATAATATTACTGCAAAAAATGCTGTGACGTTACAATGTTAATTAATACTATTCACCATACGTAATGATTAATATTACATATTATTAACAAAAAACAATATAACAGTCTAGATAACAAAATGCATATTTATTTAACGTTTGTAATTTATTGGGTGCTCAGTTCAAAAAATAAAATATTTTACATAAATATCGTAGTTCATAATTATATATAATTTTTAAAATAATGTTTAGGTAATAGGTGCTTATTAAACAATGCGAGACTAATCAATTTATATGACAAAAACCACAGAAAAATCAGTTAAATTGCACATATGTTATTATCTTGTGTGTTTTAATGCGTTTTTCAACAAAATTATTGAAAGTATCTGGTTAGTGATATTTATTTAAACTCATACATATACAAGCACATTGAACAAATCATTTTTTTTAGGTAAACAAAGTAATAAATTTAATAAAACATAAAAATTACTCTTCTGCGAATCGAGTTTGATTTTTATTATAACAGTTTGGCCAATATTGTGCATTTACGAGTGAATTTAAAATGAGCATATTCCTTACAATACTCGTGCTTTGTATGGGTTTGTATGACTTTTAACAAATCATATTATTTTAATTATTTAATTAGATATCTATACTTGTTTGAGGTATAATTCTAGAGATCAAACAGCACATACATTTTATTTACTATTTAAATGCAATTGAGTTTACAAAGGATTCTTTTTGAATTTTAGCTTCTATACACTCAGTATTGAATCTAAGCGTTTGGGATTTTTTGACTAATCCTAACTCTACTATAGAAGAAGACCTTACACTAATACAAACTTTGAATAAAGATGGCTTGCAGTTTTTCTATCTCAATCAGTATGTAACATTATTAGTCTATAGGTTAAATAAACTAATCATTTTGATTAATATTAGTATTATTTTTAAAAGTTTGAAAAAATAATGATGATAATAAAATATGATATATATGTCCTATTTTGTATTAATAATAAATGTGTGTATACTGTGTTATGTACTACGGTAAGTTGTCTACGTATAGATTATAATTGTTTTAATTTATAAGTAACACAATTAATGTTTCAACAGCCTTTCAGTATTGATTTTATATTTAATAGTAAATAAAATGTAATTGTATTTAAGATTAATTATATTACATTTTTAGAACCTTGTATTATAAATTTGTTTTTTTAAAATAAATATTATGAACATAATATAGTATTATTGCGTCTCGTTGAATAACGTTGATTCATATATCCACGTAGAAACGATAACACTGATATATTAAATATATAAAAAATCTTTATTCAATACACTAATGTTTAGTGAGCGGTGTTACGACTTCACTCTGAAATTATTACTAAGACAAGAGTGTGAGTTGTGTTACGACCTACCTCTAAGCATATTGGTTATCCCTAACCGTCTGATGAGATCTGGCTCGCCTTGCCCTTATAAATTATCTTCACACAATGAGAGTCGGCGGTTGAGGTGGTCACTCACGATGATACTTGCACCATCGATTCGTGATCAGTGTTCTAATAAGTGATAGCCCTTGACTACTCACAGCAGAGATGTTTACTGAGATGTACGTAGCATGTAGTCGTGTTTTAATTGCTTAATTAAATAATACAATGCTCACACCGATAGCCATGGTTTTTCATTATCATTCATTTTATTTTATTTTTATGATTAAATAGAGAACTCGGACATGATAGAAGAATACAAATGGATTTGAATAATGTATCTGCTATAGTTAACTATTGGATGAAAGGTTTACCGTTAAAAGTTACTGTTCATGGGTGGCATGGATCGGAGAATGCTATCTATGGTGTATATGAAATCAACGACGGTATAATAAAATAAATAATATTATTCTAATTACTAATTAATACATCTTATTGTACAACGCTGATCTCAAAAATAATATTTAATTCAATGCCAAAATATTAGCATACATCGGCCTTGGAGGGTTCAATATAATCACAGTGGATTGGAGTAGTTTTGCAAGTAATTCTGAATATGCATATTCTGCAGCTGTGGCTTTAACCGTTGGTACTGGAGTTGCCGTATTTTTGGAAAATGTGGTTAATTTAACGAAAATTTCACCAACAGATATACATTTAATAGGCTATAATCTCGGAGCCCACGTTGTAGGAAGATGTGGTTATCGTTTTCGATTGGGAAAAATCGGCAGAATTACTGGTGAGCACATTAAATGTAGAAATTTTATGTAGGGTGCTGAGGTTTCAAATCTCGTATTCTGTAAACTCATAATGACTGCAAAGATATCATGAATGTACTTAATTATTAAAAAAGTGGGCATTTTAAAAACTGATTTATTTATTTTTTTTTAATTCCGTTTTTTGTGTTTAAATACAATTAATGTCTCAACAAAAAATTAAATTTTATCAAATTTATTTATTATAAGAATTAAATAATATAAAAAATATTAATGTTTTTAAGCACTTAAACCAATCTTTAACTCCACTTTCTACTTATTTTATGTTCGAAAGTTTCCCTCAATATATATTAAATCGTTAGGTCACATGCACAGGAGTAGCAGCAGATATGTTGAACTTGTAGGTCTAAATTGATTTATTTATTGATATAATGTTTTTGAATTACCAATTCGACGAATGTATGCAAGTATTCAACAAGTGAAGGTAGCTATTTCAAGTAATCCATTGTGTCATTTGACGTATTAGAGCTTTAATCGTACTTGTTCGTTTTTTATATCTAACTGTATTATACTTTTAACTTAACCTTATTTTATTTCATAATCAGCATAATTAAAAATATTTCTTTTTTTTTGTTTGTTCACTTGTATTTTTAGTAAAATTCTGCACAGGATTTGATTTATTGACACTAAAATTAGTTTACCTCATTGGCTTATTGATTGTTTTAAAAATTCTAAATGTGTCTTAAAAAGTTTTAATTTAGTGATTTACAAATTTTATTAGCAAATGCTAAAAAATTAATTATTCAATCATTTTTGTATGTTCATTGAATTTAAATATATAAAATTTTAAATTCACAACTGTTATAACTAATAACCATTGACACCATTGACATAAAATGATAACAGTTTTACCTAGATTTAATTCATAAGCTTATAATAAATAATAGACTAGTGATATATATTAGATTATATATCATAATAATGTCCATTTTTGATGTGTGTTTCTAAATTAAATACAATGTAATATTCATTAGGATTAGATCCAATCAAAATTCTAAGAAATAACAAAGACATCCATGTACCACCTTTGAGAAAAGATGATGCCCAATTTGTCGACGTCATTCACACTTCAGGAGGGAAATTTGGTTACATTGGAATGTTAGGTCACATTGACTTTTATCCCAATGACGGAAGAGTTAGTCAACCGGGATGTCATGATTCCATGCTTCCATTTTTAGGTAAAGAACTTGTAAATCTGAAAATTTGATGGAGGTTAATTGGTATGAATTTTATTTTTGATGAAATTCATATCCAATCAGATATCAATAATATATGTAGTATTTTGGTCGTGTTAAACAATATATTAAAATAAATTCCACGGATTAAAATCAGGTGGATTACCTTTTTATTAAAGCTTTCTTCTACTCGAATCCAAAGGTTTTGTAAACTTAAATATAATGAATAAAAACAATAGAACACTTATTTTATATTTTTATATATAAGAAAATTAACTCTGTTTAGATTTTCCTTTAACATTATTAATGATAGAAGATATTATCATGGAATTTATATTTCATGATTGGTTGATATTTCATAAAGACTTATAGCTGGGTAACTGATCAATTAATCAGTCATTTTGCTAATATATTATATTGAATTAGAATTACAGAAATGCAGCCAGCAAAGAGCATATGAATTATATAGAGACTTCCTGAAATATAACAGTTCTTTCATTGGGACCTTCTGTGATTCGTATGAGAATTATATGTTCAAGCACTGTGAAGACCAAGAAAAAATACCTATGGGACACTACGCAAATCTAACGTAAATTGATGATTTATATTTGATACAATTTAATAATTGTTATTTTTATGAGTAACAGTTCAGTGTTGTACTGATTTCCATGCTCCTTTAATTTAATTTAATTTGTTATTCGTAAATCTTTTAAGCATCGCGATTACTAAAAAGTGAAAAAAGTATTTAACATATTTTATCAATGTGTGACAAAAAGATTCTTTATGATATTAATTTATATTTTTTTATTACAAGCGTAGTGACAAAACATTTTAATGAATAATGTGCTTTTAATCATAAATAGAAAAGTCGAAAAAAAAAAATTTTTATGATTAAAATTTGTATATTCTCCTTAAGTTAATATTTTTATGTAAGTGTATTTTTTTGATCATTAACTGTTATCGTTCTTAGTATTTTTGGTGGAGGATCTTATTACTTGAGCACCAATGACAAAAGTCCTTTTCATGGAATAAACTAGCAAATCTGTAACCAATTTTGTGCTTTGTTATCCTCGCGTTTAATACCTACTGCCCTTGTTTGCTGTAACATCGTACCAACCGTTCACCTGCGAGGGGACTCCGTGTCATCATAGGACAAGTTTGGCTAAACCAAGTCGTCTTCTTTATTTTCTGTATTTTATTTTTCTATATTTTCTTATATTATTGTACGTATTAATATTATTATTATTATTATTATTATATTAATACATTATAATTATTCCCGTGACGCCCTGTACTAGGTCCATTATTATAATTATAATTATTAATATTATTTGGATTATTGTAAAATTTTTTTTATCGGTGTTACATATTCGCAGGACAAACATAACGGGATATATATTTATTATATATTTTTGGTAACTCACTTCGCTCCTGTGTACATAACATCTGAGTTGTTGCCGACAACCACCGATCATTATAGGATCGGTAACAGCGCAACACCTATCGAATAACGTTCAAGTTTAAAACTGATACTGAATGTCAGACACTTAAACTGCTTTAGAGTCTCAACGATTTCTGCATTTAACATTGTTCAAAAAATGTAGTTTTTATTATTTGTATGTGAAGAAATCCTAAATCAGTCAAATCACATGTATTTTTTATTTAGTGTGTTCTTAGAAATAATTGTACACAATGATTGTTTATGTCGTTATAATATACCATATGATTGCTTACAATAGTCATTAAAATCACAAACTATTTGAATATACTATATTTATATATAGACATAAAAAAATAATGCCTTCAATAGATCACTAAAATTTCATATTATGAACAAAAATACAAAATAAACTGTTTCATAAAATACAACTATGATATAGGTTGAAGTACTATACTTATATTTATTCTGATAACAATATGTATTGTGTTTAATCAGATAGATATCAAGTAAAGAACATAAACATATAGTCAATCACATTTATTAAATAATTTAAATCCTGTAGAATTTTACATGACATTTAATATAAGAAATTAACATTCGAAACTATGAATTACTTTAATGTTTATTAAACATTTTATTTACTTTTGAACTAATTTACAATATTCATGAAAGATTATGAATGACTTTACATGATGTTTATTATTGCATATTAATATCAAAAAATGTTATAAAAACAGCAACTTAAAAATGTATATTTACTTAAAAATCGTATTTTTTTGTGTGCTAGGAATAAAAAAAAAAAAATATAAATTAATGAATATATGAAAGTTATAGTCAAATAATATATGCTTTGTTTTTATTAATTACGTAATAGGTCTTATTAATCTATAGAACTATAATTAATTAAATTTATACAACAATAATCCAGCCAAAGAAAAATTGCATTAGTTTAGGTATTGCACATGGATATGTTATTATTTAATGTGTTTTTCAACAAAACTATTGAAGGTAGCTGACTATAATAATATGTAATTATTATGATTCACCCATGTGGCTTACATGACAAAAAAATTAGTTTATCTGAAAAAATATTTTTTTCGGTGAACTAAATTGTACAATAAATAAAACATGAAAATTATTCGCTTTTCTATCAATAACATCCACCATATAATGCTCATGCTTTTTTTTATCCATATAATTAAGGGTTAATATGACGTTTTGCACAATGTAGTATTTTATAATTATTTAATCAGATGTTTATACCTCTTTAATGGATAATTCTAGAGATCAAATTGCAAATACATAATATGTCATATAACATAATAATATTTAAACACAGTTCAGTTTTTCAAAAGATTCTATTTTGATTTTAGTTTCTCTAGAAGCTGTAAACCTAGAAAAGGGAAATACTGCAACAAATGTTAATACTTCTATGCCTACCAATTATGTTGCACTTCTTATGTATATCAATAAAATAATCTTGTAGTTTTTATAAGAAGAGTCCACGTTAGTCAATGGTCTAGAGTAAGGCCGAGTTATTTGTATTTAGAATTGAAATTAATGCTTTAAAATAAATTTGAAATGTAACATAACAAAAATTAACATTTAACTAAAAGTAAGAAAAGTATCGGTTCACTAGTGTTTAATTTTAAAAATGTATATTGTTTTTATATTTAAACCCTTACTATTTGGACGTATATGTCCGAAAAAATCCCTTTTCAACCCAGTGCTTACTATAATAGAAAGGACTATCATATGAAAGGACTAGGATCTGATGACATAAAAGAAATAATAATACAGGCATTAATATGCTTGCAAATATTTAATTAATATTATGAATGCATATATTGCACTTTTGATAAACCAATTGACATTTTTCGGTGTTCTTCATTTGTAATGTGTATTACCTACTTCTATATCATGATTTTTCTCAATCAGTTATCTTCTATCGATAATCATCAATTATTCTTTTAATAGTTTCAGGATTCATTTGTACTCAGATATCATAGCTTTTAATTATATTTTCTTCTTTAGCGGTACATTTGGTTTTTACGAATTTAATGAATTTGTCAAAAATTTTATTTCTAGTGAATTTTAAAAGCGTATTTATGCAGATATCTAAACTTTTATTTTCCCTACCATCTAAGTAATAATGTTTTAGGCACTTGTGCACTAACTCCAAGTACGTGTCTGCAATGTTAATAATTACATATTTTTGGTAACAATATGCCCATTAGTTATATAAACAGTTATAACCCTTGGACTATTCACCAAATTGAATAGTATTAACGTCGTCCATTATATTAGCTATATATTCATTTAAAAATTCGATAAAAATAATTTAATTTATCTTTTGATGCATCGCTTTTATTGATTTATGAATTAAAAATGTGGACCACATGCCAAGCATACAATAGTTGACGTTATACATGTAATATTACTTGTTTCTAAGCGTTGTAGTACGTCAAGTCGTCATCACTTTTAAAAATTTGAGTACTAATAATTCAAATATATCATAATAATGTCCATTAATGATGTGTGTTTTTAAATTAAATACAATATAATATTCAATTGGATGAGATCCGATCAAGGTTCTAAGAAATAACAAAAACATCCATGTACCACCTTTGAGCAAAGATGATGCCCAATTTGTCGACATTATTCACACTTCAGGAGGGAAATTTGATTACATTGGAGCTTTAGGCCGGGATGTCATGATTTCGGGTATTCATTTTTAGGTAAGGAAATTGTAAATCTGAAAATTTGATGGAAGTTAATTGGTATGAATTGTATTTTTGATGTAATTCATCTTCTAGCAGAGATCAATAACATATTATGTAGGTAGTATCTTTGTTGTCTTAAACAATATATTAAATTCCACGAATTAAAATCAAGTAGATTACTTAACTATTAAAGCGATCTTCTACTCGAATCCAAAGGTATTGTAAATTTAAATATAATTAATAAACTCAATAGAACACTAATTTTATATATTTTTTTTATAAGCAAAGTAACGCCGTTTAGCTTAAACATCCTTAAACATTAGTAATGATAGAAGATATTATCATGGAAATTATTTTTCATGATTGATTGACATTGAATAAAGGCATATAACTAGGTAATAATCAATTAATTAGCCATTGTGCTAATATATTATATTGAATTAGAATTACAGAAATGCAGCCAGCAAAGAGCATATGAATTATATAAAGACTTCATTAAATATAATAATTCTTTTATTGAGACATTCTATAACTCGTATGAGCATTATAAGTTCAAGCGCTGTGAAAACCAAATTAAAATACCTATGAGGCACGACGCATATCCATGGTAAATTGATGATATATATTTGACAATTTTTATAGTTGTTAATAATTAAGAGTAACAGTTCAGTGTTGTAGTGATAACAACGCTCGTTTAATTTAATATAATTTGTTATTTGTAAGCTTGTTAAGCATCACGGTTACTAAAAAGTGAAAAAAGCATTTAACATACATCAATCTGTAATACATATAATAATAGCCAATTTGTAAGACAAACATTCTTTATAATATTAATTTATATTTTTTTTATTAAAAACGTAGTGACAAAATATTTTAATGAATAATGTGCTATTGTTCATAAATAGAAAACTCGAAAAAATCAATTTATTATGATTAAAAATGGTATATTCCCCTTAAGTTAATGTTTTTATGTAAGTGTATTTTTTTGATCAACAGCTATTATAATTTTTAGTCCTTTTGGTTTTGGAAATTTTTTCTTGAGTACCAATGACAAAAGTCCTTTTCATGGAATAAATTAGTAAGTCTGCAACCAATTTGTGCTTTGTTTTCCTCGCATCCAATCCCGACTGCCCTTATTTGCTGTAACATCGTGCCCACCGTTTACTTTCGAGAGGACTCCGTGTCATTATCGGACAAGTTTGCCTAAACTAAGTCGTCTTCTTTATGTTTTGTATACCATTTTTCTATATTTTCTTATATTATTATTATAAGTAAACTCAAGTATGGATAAGTCTATAATAGGTATCCACCTAATAAATATGTATATGGTAGTATTAATTTTTACAGAAATAAAATACTCAGTTAAAGTATTATTAAATTATCTACGTTACCAATTCAAATATATTTAATAATATACGAGCATGTACTTTTGTTTATAAAAATATACAATTTAATGATTAGATTTAATATTCAAATAAAATTAAGAGATTTTTTAAATAGTACACACAAATACAATAAACTTGTTATTATTAGATTTCAAAGGTTGACATTAAAAAAATACCAATATTAGCAATATAATATTAATTAATAACAGTATAAAAATTTTAGTTTTATAAAACACAGGTGTTGTTTTAATGTAAATATTCTTACTTATATGATTAATAATTGATAACGCCTTTTTAACCATTTAATGACCTAAATAATTACGTGTTGTGACCAAATAAGTTCGCATACATTTGAAGACTAGTATTTTCTGCATTACATATTGATCCATGGTTATGGTGCTATGTTTTTCAATATAATTTTTATTTTATTGAATATTGATACTTATGTATAATGATATTATATTTTCAGTAAAAGCATGGTGCGCGACATTATGCGCATTACTATTACCGATTCTCGAGGCGAATTCAACACAAATACATTATGTATATTTTGTTCTCAATATTACTATTATTAAATTGTTTTGACATATAAATTAAAAACACGCGCGATATTTACCTACGCGACGGTACGCAACATATTATGTGTGCCACAACGCATGTATGCACGCATGTGTTCAAGATGGTCCGTCTCAGATAAGAAATAAATAAAAAATTAATATATAAAATAACGTAATGATAAATTTAAAAAAATATCGAGAAATATTAAAAAAGACTAACCGCAACCCGAGCGAACAATGCGTGCGTTTAGCATACCCATATCGTACGCATAGGTTTGGTTACATATATACATATATACACGGTGTATATACCTTATATGAGTTTAATATACGCAAAGACGCGCGGTCATGTCGAAACACCTCTCTTTTTATTATTTTACGTATGCGTCTCACGATAATATACGTTTACTCGGATGACTACTGAGATTTTAATACCTAATACACACGCACACAAGCTCACACGTACGCGTATGAACACACACGCTCCAACTAGCAAGGGAGTGAAGAGCCGAACGCAGTGCATGT